GCCTGGCTATTTTTTTGTTGCAATTTAGCCAGGCCTGATTCAAACCCACCACCCTCGGTATATGGGGCTGGTGCCCTACTCACTGAGCCACAGGCGCCACCCTATTTTTAACATTTTTCATTGTCACCATAATATTTTTAGAGATGAGGTCTTGTTATGTTGCCCAGGCTGAGATCAAACTCCTCCCTGCATTCAAAGTGATCCTCCTGCCTTGGCCTCCCCAAGTAGCTGGGACACAGGTGTGCATCACCACCCTCAGCGATTTTTAACACACGACAGCACCGTACACTGAATGAGACAGGAAACTTGCCTTGAAGAGGCTCATTTGCAGTAAACCTTCTTAAAAAGGGAATACACACATACACCTTTTAGGTCCTGTATTGATTACACAGGGGCATGTGAAGGGGTGTCTTAGCCGGGCTTGGCCCTGCACTAAATATCCCTGGTTTGGGCCACTTCTTCTCATTTCCCCACTGTCAGGTCTCAGTATTACCAGAGATAAGGCATCAAGCAGCTACCTTCATCCACCACGATCTGCTGGCCAAAAAATGACTTCAGGAACATTGTGATAAACGATTTTTCCATTTGTAATCATCATGGGAACTTATAAATAGTTGAGCCATAGATTAGCATATATCAAAGAGGTCATGAGTGCTGTGCCAGCTACTTCCCCGGTATTTTTGTTTTCAAAGCATCACTTGACAAAGTACCTCCAGATGTTGGAATAGTGAACCTGGGTTCATTTCACACTGCAAAACTTAAAGAGCTCAAATGTTTCCTCGTTTGGTGACTTAAAGCAAGGAGCCAGTCATTAAAAACCAAAACAAAGTGAAACCACACACAATTTCTTCCCGCTAAAAACTGCATTAAGGGAAACAGAATGTCTCTGCTCACCACAAACAAAACAAGGAACAGACTTCAAGCATTGTGGTCGCTGGTGTTTCAAATCACTTTCTCCCCTCTCAGGATAAAATGTGGCTATCAGGCAGGTCTGAAAGCTTTTGAGACTTGCAGAATACAAATCGTTACGACTATTTCAACTGCACACAAACTTTATGGCCACCCCCTATAGAAGTAGCTCTTAGGTTTCTCTGCTTGGTGACACTGGCACTCGTGGTGTGGACAGAAAGTATAATGTACCCATGGTAGGTAGATCAGAACTTCAAATGCTGAGCCAAACATTTCAGAGTATCTTGACCCCTACAGGCTACAACAACATTTAAGAAGTGAATGCCACAGCGTCCCTCCTATTAAGTAAGGAGTATCTGCTGCCAGAATGCCAGGCACTGACAGGTGAGAAGGCCGCTGCCCTACGCAGGGAGGCTGTGCACAACTCAAGACCAACTCAAGACGCCCATGCTGAGGAGATACTCCCAGCACGTTCTCCTCTGACACGTGGTGTTTCCCTATAGCTTCTTAGTTTCAACAACTCACTCAGTCAAGACTCAAGTGACAAACAGTAACAGTTTTAACAAACCCATACTAACTGGAAAAGGTTCAATAGGTACAGTGAGGCATATAAAGTAATGCACAGAATTACAAATCCACAGTCTCCTATCAGCAATTTCAAAATCCAGACATTAGTGGACCAGACCCGTTCTGAGTTCCTATGTTGGCAATACCTGAGTGAGGCTACTTTAGGTTTACCTGCTCTACTGATGGCGAATATTCTTATCTTTAGTTATAGGAATAACAACCTGCTTAGTAAGAGGGTCCTGTCCAGACACCTGGAAGAATCATAGTGACATGATGCTGTCCTGATGCTCTGAACTGTCTGCTACGTTGTACTCAATGCACCACACTGCTGTTCCAGCATCTGAAAATGCTTGATTCCAAACCCCCTCTAGCTTGAAGGTCACTGTAAGGGACATGTCGACCTATAGTAAACACCAATTTCTACCGAATTTGATTAACCATACAAAAATATGTGTATCTGAAAAGAACTCGTCTGACTCAAGCACCCAGGATGTAAACAGCAATAAGAAGAAGGATGATTTTATAAGCAAATGCTCACACTTCACTCTACTGGAACCTGACTCATTCTGACGACTGTCTGGCAACAGGTGCCAGGTAGACAACACATACTGCTATTGTGATGACCAGGGGACCTACTACTCGGCATCCCCACAGAGGCAGAGGCCTCCAGTCGCTGTTCTTTTTAAGATGCTACCAAACTGGGTAAAAAGCTACTCGTACTAGCAAATTTTAACCAGTTAATGTGGTATTAGGCAGAATTACAGTAATACCACACACTGTCTACTAGATGCATGAAGTTTTATAACACAAAAGCAAATTAATTTTCACACATAGTTCTAATAAGTTTATTCATGCTGAGAAGGGCCTACTAATCTTCAGACGTTCTAAAGTGCTATCTGAAGAAAATGAGCATAGTTTTCATACAAATGATATAAACAAAATTGCAGAAGGATTATATCCAGCACAGATAAAAAACCCTGCACATAGTTACGTGTCTCTGTCACCCATTCCTACTATTCCACGGAGCACCACAAATCCCCATGGTGTTTCTTTAGATTACAGTTTGCATTTAAATTTTTTATTTTTAACGTTCATTTAAATGCACCAGCTCAAAGCCTCAATTAAGCAGAAATGCTATGGACAACTCTAAAATTTAAAGGAAAACTTTCTCTGTTTACTCGAAAGATTTAAAGATCAAGGTACTTACTATCTTAAAATAATTCATGCATTCAGTTCAATATACCTATTTACTATACAAACCGTCTTTAAATTTATAACATACAACTTCAAACATTTCCGTTTTTAAAAGACTCAGCTATTTTTTACATAAATAATCCTAAATTTAATTTAGGATTCTGAATTTTGTAGTATCCACTGACTGTGCCTTATTCTTTTGGATTCCACGACTCTGTGAGTACTGATCTCCCACCGAGGAAGCCCCTTCCCACACCCACACCTCCCACACTACACCCACTCCTCCTCCAAGGCTCAGATCGAAGTGCCCTCTCTGGAAACCTCCCTCAATTCCTCTGCACAGAATTATTCCACTTTTCTTCTTTGCCATCAACATACTTCTTTCATAGCGACAATTACACTGTAACTAATTTTTTCCTCTATCCCCTCACTAGGCAACAGGCCTACACAGCACAAGGTGGTAGAAGGGTGTTTGTCTCTGTCCCAGAAGTTTGTACACAGGTCTCTTTCCCTCAGTGAACCCCTGAATTAACGAGTGACCAAACAGAGTTAGACTCCATTATCAGGCCATGCTCTCCTATTTGCTAAGAAAAGAAAAAAAATATGTAGGGGCGGCACCTGTGGCTCAAAGGAGTAGGGCACTGGCCCCATATGCTGGAGGTGGTGGGTTCAAACTCAGTCCCAGCCAAAAACTGCAACAACAACAACAAAAAAAGGCTCAGCGCCTGTGGCTCAAGTGGCTGAGGCACCAGGCCACATACACCTAAGGTGGCAGGTTAAAATCCAGCCCGGCCTGCCAAACAACAATGACAGCTGCAACCAAAATATAGCCAGCCATTGTGGCGGGCACTGGTGGTCCCAGCTACTTGGGAGGCTGAGGCAGGAGACTCGCTTGAGCCCAGGAG